ACGTATGCCATCTTCTGGTGCATATTTGGGATTATGCTTTTTTAATCCTGCTGATCGACAGACTCGAATTGGTTTACTTTTTTTCCAGTCTTTAGCCTTTGCACCCTTTTTGTCATCAACAGGCGCATCACATGTTCGCGCAAGTGCCATATTATTCTTGGTAAGTTCTTGATCTGATGTTTGTGGCGCAGTGCGTTTGTTACCCGTTTTCAGATCGCGACCACCAGAGCCCGTATAAACAAATTCTTCTCCCTCGTCTTTATCTTCTGGATAACCTCCACTTAATACGATCGATACCACTCCTACTTCAGACTTTCCACTAATTCCAGCAACAATAGGACGATGAACACCTGACTCTGAACAATGGAGACGATATTTCCATGAGTATCCAACGGGAATACCTGGAATGGCACCAAAATGATCAGGATCAACTATCTCGCATGTTTTGCTACGACCCATACAAGCAACTCCACCGCCCCATTTCTTGGTTTGAGTTGCAGATGGCATTTTTGACTTTTTTGATTTTTTTAAATCAAGTCCTTGCCCAGCTAAAATGACGTCATCATCCTCGTGTTTGCATTGAGGGCAATACCAATCATCTTTAGGAAGAGTTTCCATAGGTGGTTTCAAACATTTAAAATGATAATAGTATTGGCATTCATCACACACAACTGTGTGTTCTTCATCATCCTTGTTTCCGCAAACATTACAACCACATTCTTTACATTTCTTTCTCGGGTTGTTATTACATGCACTACAAACATATTCTTCTTCATATTCGGCAGGTTGCGTCGTTACGGTCGGTTCGGCTTCGTTTAATTGTACCTCATTATTTTCATCATTGGAACTTAATAATGCTTCTTGTACTGACGTTGTAGAAAGATTTGGTTCGTGAAATTCTTCAACAATGACTTTTTTGTACAGTTGGACAGTACTTTGGTGTTTTACATTGTAATGGAAGAGAGTAAATCCGTCCTCTAATTGTTTACCACCAAAGAAAAGCCTCTGTGCTTCAGGAGGATAACGGTTTTTAAACTCTTTTGCAATCTGAACTCTTAAGTCTTGAATGTTGTCTCTAAGATTACATTCAACCTGGACTTTCTCTATTCCTTCAGCTAACACAAATATAAACATTTTTTTTAGCCCTTTTTCTATTTGGAAGCCCTGTAGAGTTTATAAAAACAGCTCGCGACAAAAATCAGGGATTTATTACTCGTGTAAAGCGCGTTTGTGCTACCGCTAGCATGATGGTCCATTTGATTGATTGTCGATCCTTGAAATATACAGTCGTACCTCTTTATAATCACCTTCCATATAATTACATCATATTAAAACCTTTTTATAATTACCTTTTTATAAGCATATTTTTTTAAAAAAATTATTATAGTTTAATTGTGTAATTATAAAGAGATATGACTATATTTAATTATAAGATATTGGTTATATGATGAAATATTTCCTGTTATTTTCGTATGACCAATATCGATATTATTGTTTGTATTACAGTATATGACCGTGTGATGTTTTTT